CGTTGGTTGGGGCTTCACTAGATCTTAACTCATACCATATTTAATTGCCTACTTTCGGCCTAAATAATGATGGAAAGTTTTATTTTCCCGTCTTCTATCTCATCTAGGTCTCCGCTGATGCCGAATATGTGATGGAAACTCCACGAAGCTGCGAGCGCAACTTGAGCCTTTCGTCTTTATAATTTTCTCCTGGAGGTCTTCATTTCCTCAACCCGTCAATGTTCCTTTTTTTAGTTGCGTACTTACGGCGACTTAATATGCGGCTGTCCGGCGACTACCGCCACTGCCACGAGTCCCAAACGCCGCGAATTGGGGCTAAACTAGATGGCTAGGACTCACGGGCAGCAGCTTCCGCATCTCCTGCAGCTTTGCTCGTGAGTCCTAGCTTGGGGACTAATTAAGTCGCCGGAAGTGCGCAATTGACACGTGACTGAGGCTCGTAAGGATATTTTGTGGCCGCCATCTTTTGTGCCCGTTATTCGGAGGATAGCCGAAAAAGCTATGATACTTTTATCCGCCCTCGAAGTACTTCACAAAAGTGACAATGAAGACGTGTAGATTATTATAATAAAAAGGGAAGGAATGAGTCAGAGAGCCGCTTCTGTTTCGTCTGGGTTTACATTTAAAAAAGGACTTTTGTCACATTGTGTTGTAGTTTACAAATAGGCTGCAAAATCTACGCCTTTCGGCAAACAGACGAGAAAATGATAAGGCATATTTGCCAGACAATTCTAGAACTATTTGTAATTTTCCGTTCATTACACCAACTAGACCGGAACTTCCGGTGTAAACAGACGGAGTACAAAAACATCTTGCATCAGTTTTTCCACAAACGGTCCACGGTTTGATCTTCAGATTTCACCCCGATCTACGCAGCGAGAATTTTTCGGATGAATTTTGCCTAATTTCTCTGATTTTTGGTTATAACGGGCATCAAATATATTTCAGAAGGGACAAAGCGTAGTTTGAAACAGGTATATAGTAATACTAATAGAATGCAGAAAAATCAAAATTAAAATCTCTTCATACTATTACTAACTAATTAATACTTATAACTTATACTTATACTAACACTTCATTAACGGAATCGCCGGGAATCTTGAAATCTTCAAAATTCAATCTAATAATATTTAATAATGATATAATTCAGTTCTGTCATTCATTTTCGTCTCATCTCATCAGTCTATGAACGGATTATTAAAAAAGGGAACAGTTGTGTTGTTGAAATCTGCGGAGAATCAAGCAACAAAATCTTATCATTTATGAACATAACATAATACAGCAGACACTTTTTACATGTTTGATTTGATTGTTGGTTTGTGTTTATGATCTTATTTCTCAGAATCCTCTGTGTTGCCAACACAGCTTGTGTTTTATTTCCGCTGAGTAAATTACAAAAGACAGTGAAGTTCATACTAGAGATAAAATCTGGCTATCCTCCGAATAATGGCCACATATTATAGCGGTCAAAAACACACACTGACAGAGCCTCATTAGGTCGTGTGTTGTAAACATTAAAAAACTCGAAAATAATGAGGAACAAAAAAAGGGAAAAAATTATGAAATTGACTACTTAGCAATAATTGAGGCCTTTAGATCTGAAAATAGTGGCACAGAATTTGCAAATAGTGCCCGAAAATCTGCTCTTGATTGCTGTGGCGCTAGTGAAACTCAGCTAAAAGTGATCGGTGCCGCATTGGTAACACAGTTTTCACTGCGAGAGTATCTCCCGTGCGTAGCGGCACAGATGGGGGGGCTAAACTATATGGCAGGGACTCACGAGTAAATAAATTGGAGAAAGTTGCAGTAGCTGCTGCTCGTGAGTCCCAGCCTTCTAGTTTAGCCCCTTATCAGGGCGGGGGATACGCTCGGCCGTTAGTTTAATCAGAAGAACACTTACGCTAACCTGTGTCGGAGCGCATGGTCTTCCCAAAATGTCGCTATTATTGTGTGTATTGTTGCGTTTTTCGAAATTGTCTTTGTCGCTATTATCGTGTGTATTGTTGTGTTTCCTGAAATTGTCATTGCCACTGTTATCTTGTGTATTGTTGTGTTCCTCAAAATTGTCAATGGACAGTAATCCTAGTTTTGCTGCAATGTGTTCGTCAGAGGAAGTCCGCAATTTACATGTGATGGAGGCCTTGTCAGAGTGTGTTTTTGGCCGCCATAATATGTGGCCGTAAATCATAGCCTAAAATTGCAGATATAGATAATCTATTTCAAGCGACCAAAAGAAGACGAAGAATTTTAATTATATTTTGTTGTTAAGCTGTTACATCTTACACGCTTACTGTGAATAATCCTGTTTGTGAAGATTTTCTGTAGCTCAATTTTCACCCCCTCCTTGTGACCATCTAAACGTCTTTCTTGTCACCTTTATGAAGTACTTTTAGGATGAATAGAAATATCGGCTCTCCTTTCAATACCGGACGAGGGCTGGACGCGGGCTGGACGGCTTAGTTCAGTTTAGTTGGAGTTCTCTCCCTTGGCCGCACTGGAAACAGTGAGCGGAAAAGTGACGAATCAAAGAAGACAGTGAGGTCGACATCTGGGCTGCCAATGCTTGGTTGTGTCCCCCAGATCTGGGTTTTTTTTTTTTTTTTTGACGCTGCAGGGAAATCTGGGTTTTGTGTTTTTTTTGGTTTTTGCCGATGTGTATGCTTTAATGACCGATAAATTTGTGTGGGTAGGGTTAGGTTTAGCGATAGATGTGACAATTGTGACACAGGAGTTCCTTATAATGGCGCACAGCCACATACACACCCAAACAGTCGACGGACTGAGGGTGCTACGGACAATTCGCCACCGATTGGGCACCAGCCGCACGCTATTGCCGTCATATTTCGCAGAATTTCATTGGCGCCACTCCAACAAGCATCAGATTGTCAGCCAGTATTTGGAACTCCTACGTCAAAATTTTCACATCTAACCCTAATCCCCAACCCTACCGCTAACCCTAACCCCAACCCTACACGCAACCGTATGATGATAGGCAACCCTACACGCAAGAGTATGATGACTACGCAACCGTATAATGACTACGCAACCCTACACGCAAGCGTACGCAACCCTACATGCAACCGTATGATGATAGGTAAGTATGTCATTTGTTTCGTGATTTTTCCGCTCACTGTTTCCAGTGCGGCCAAGGGAGAGAACTCCCACTAAACTGAACTAAGCCGTCCAGCCCGCGTCCGGTATTGAAAGGAGAGCCGAAATATCATATTTCAGTGTGTCTGGAACTTATCGCAGTCAGATAGTGGGAGCCAGAGCTGTCGTGGTTTAGCATCTAGACACTTGACTAAAGGTTGGGGGTTTGGGTCCCGACGGGGTAGACTTTAAAAAAAATGGACCTTGGTTCCCAGGTGGACCCCGCATGAGATAGATTCTAGGTCAAGTCCTGGGAAGTGGCTGCTAGAGCTAGACCACGCGCTGCGACTCAAATTAGCGACCGCGTTATTCCGACGCAAGACTTAGTGACCGTAGATGTGAGACCTGCGGATCTGTATGTCGTAATGAACGATGAGCTTGCGTGGTTTCCGTGATATGTCACCCTAACCATAATCCTACCCCTAACCCTTACCCTACCCCAAACCCTAAGCCTAACCCTAGGATGACAGGTAACTATCTCATTTGTTTCGTTCCCTCTTTTCCACTCCGTAATTGCACTGCAGCCAGGGGACTGAACTCCGACTAAGCGGCCGTCGCCTTCCAGCTAGCGACCGTTATTTAAAGGAGAGCCGAATATGGGTCTGGCACTGTATACCTAATATGCCTTAAGGCGAGGAAAAGGGGTCATTCACACAGTGTTTCTTTCTCTTCCCTTATTATCGACATACTGTTATTTATATGGCTATAATAAACATACTTAATCTTTTACATTGAGTTAGATAGTAACAATTTTAGTCCAACAGTACTTGTAGAAAAAAGTTTAGTAGGTATCTGAAAAATCCAAACATGGACTTTGTTTAACTTTTTACAGTGAGTTGGGGATTTAGTTGATGTAATGACCAATAACTCTTTCAGTCCCAGGGGATTTAGCATAAGGGGTCGTCAAGAGAGAAGAAAAATCAGAGCATCTTACGTTCATTGGGCTTCTAGGTAGGAACATATGAATGTTTGATGCGTTCCTTGGGACTGAAAGAGTTAAGCAAGAAAATAGGGACTTTTGAGCTTAAATGATATAGAAAGATTCTCCGAATACCACGAACAAAAACAAAACAAAAAAAAATTTTGACATCCTAGAAGATGTTTTAGGATGTCGGTATTTCTTTGTTCGCGGTATTGGGGGAATCTTTCTATAGCATTTAGGCTCAAAAGCCCCATATTATTCCTTATGTAATGCAAAAATAGTCCACGACTTGCATCTATGTGTTGCTACAGAGAAAATGCATGCTGTCAAACTGATGACCATAATTTCTTTTCTGGTGCTTAACGATAGACCGCTATTGTTGTTTAATCTTTACATTACTATGGCCATCCTCTTTTTTTTTTAATTCTGTTGAACGGTCTCCATTGTTTATTATGGAGCCTAGATATAATAATAATTGAATTTTCAGTTTCTTCGTCGTTTTTTGGGAGCCAACATAATGTAACAGCTAGATGCTTGCCTGTATGTCCAAGGGGAGGAGGGTGGGGGGTAAAATCCTAAGAGAGCTGGACTTTTTTTTCTCTCTCTCTCTCCTAATGTGACCTTGGCTCCCAGGTGAACCCAGCCTTAAATGGATACCAGGTAAACTCCTGGGAAGTAAAGGTTGCCAGCATGATACTGACCACGTCATCCACCGCGTGCCAGTTGGTCTATCAAATATAGGCCCAGTACACCTGAATTCGTAGGAAAAGGTCCTTTACTTTTTAGTATTAATTGGGAGGAGGAGATGGGGGGTGACAGGCATTTTTTGTTTGTCTGTGGGTGTTTTTTTTTCATCCCAGCATGAACACGTCAATATTTTACGCCAAAAATTGTACAAAATCTGTGTTTTTTTCTTTTCCACAGCAAAATGTTAGCAAGCAAATTATCAGTGTGTGGGCGGATACCCGTCACAGCTTTTGTGACGGGTCTAAGCCGGCCGGTTGTGAGCCGCCCTCAGACAACGCCGACATCTTTGTACGTCAGGTTTCAGCTGTATGCTACAGAGACTGGGACCGGTGTTGGCAGATATGCCAAGAGGAAAACCCTGAAAGAGACGCTGATGTCTCCTGCCACTGACACACGTGAGTTTAAAATGCAGTACTTTATTTTTAACTCACCCTCAAACTATTTGAATCCAAGAGTTTCTGGGCAAAGTCCAATATTTTACTGGTGGTGTGTGTTAGGGTTAGGATCTTTGTCAACCCCGACCGCCTCAGAGACACCAACTAACCCTACTACTAACTCTGATGCATAACCCAAACCCATAACACCACTAGAATAGTGGGCTTTCTTGGGAACTCTGGGATTTCCTTTGTTTAGTGACAAAGCTTAAGATGGATACCAGGTAAAATCCTGGGAAGTAAAGACGGATGATGCACTGCTGGAATTAAAAAAAAGAAAAGTCTTTTACCTTATATTATGTCACTGCACATTGGCATTCCCATGACTGATCAGTCCTGCAATGCAGCAGCCACTTCAGGCTATCTCTGCTGGTTGTTCCCATGGAAAGTTGGTTGTAATGTCTCCTTCCTGCCGTGACCTAAAAAAAATGACAGAGACCTGCTTTACTCCCAGGTCATGCAATCTTGTTAGTTTCAGGAATTCGTCATTATCTGCAAGTCTGGTCTGTACAACATTGATGTTGTTGTTATCGATCCAGCGGCGCATGAGCTTTCGCCCTTTGGCCCAATGCCATGTAGTGGAATTTGCATGTTTTCACAAGCTGTTCTTTTCCTCCGTACAAGGTGTTCCACTTGTCTGGTCTCGGAGGGAGTAGCGTTCTTCTTGTCTCACTGAGTTTTGGGCACTCAAAGAGATGGTGTTCAACAGTTTCGTAGGGGTAGTTACATAGCTGGCACTCTGGGGAGTGTTGTGGCTGTATTCTGTTTAGGTGTCCATTGAGTGGAGTATGTTGCGTTCTAAGTCTGAAGATGGTGGCCTGGTCCCTTCTTGTTAGATGGTTAATGCTGTCATTAGGATCAGGGCCAGACATATGTCTATAAACCTCTCTTCCAGTGTCTCCCATGGCCCATCTGTTCAACCAAGTCTCTTTGTTTATAGCTCTCTATCAGTGTTTTTGCTGTCTGGAGGGTTGTCGCTGTAGGTGGTGTTCTTGTGTTGCTCCTTTCTTTGCCAATCTGTCAGCTCTGTCATTTACCTGGTGTGTGCCGGAGTGACCTGGAATCCACTGCATCACTATTCTGATGTTGTATGAGGTAATAAGCTGATCGGCATCCAGGATTATCTTGGCTATGTCAGTTCTGCAGCGTTCATTGCCCTCCAGAGCTTGAAGGGCAGACATTGAATCTGTGAAGATGACAATATTTTGGACCTTTGAGGGGGGTAAACATCCATTACAGTCTTTAGGTGGTATACGGCTGTTTCCAGTGCAATTATTTCAGCTTCATAGTTTGAACAGAATTCCCCGCATGCATCAAAAATCTCTTCAACAGATCCATCGGGATAACCTATGTAGATTCCGTAACCTGCTTTAATGGTAGCTTTAAATGCTGATCCATCAGTATAGACATGTATCCATTCTTGGGGGTAAGAATCAACGGTCTTTAGTGATGAGTTCATAAGAGCGATTGGGTCGGACTGTTTGGTTTCCTCGCCTACCAATTTAGTTTGGACTTCTGGAGCTTTAAAGCGAGCATGTGGTGGTAGGTTTTTTTGCAACATTCTGAATTCCTTGACGTCTTTCTGGGAGGTGGTATCTGTCCTGAATTTCATTAACACAGTGTAAAAAAGACGATTTGTGCTTTATTCTTTGTTTGGATTCCCAGTTTTCTACAAGATGTCTATTAGGATGGTTACGATTTTTCCTAACGCATCTTTCATAAATTTCTAAAGTGGCTTTTTCTCTCCGCAACCCGAGGGGTTCCACATTTGTATGGATTTTCACATGCAGCAGTTGGTGTAGACTGCATAGCTCCGCAGATTAATCGGAGGGCATTATTTTGTACTCTGTCAAGAGTCTCTAGGTTAGTTTTTGGAACAAGTTGTAAGCAGTGAGTTGTTGTACTCTATCACAGAGCGAAACATATCCTAGGTATAAGCCCTCAGAGTTTCCTTGTCTGATCCCCATGATGTACCTGCAAGTCTCTTTAATAACTGTAACCGCCTCAATGCCTTATTCCTGATGTTTTCAATATGGTTCTTGAGGCTGAGCTGCGGGTCAAGTGTGACTCCAAGGTATGTGGGATGCTCTTCTTTCATCACTTGGTGTTTGTCTAACCTCAGGTTAATATTCTTCCTTGCTACTTGGTGGCTTTTGGTAAAGATTGTGTAGACCGTCTTTGCACAGTTAATCTTGAGTTTCCATCTTTGGCAGTAATCATGCAGTCTTCTAAGGTCTCCATTCAGTCTTTGGGCTCCACTTTCCACATTTTCATGACTCTGCCATATTGCTAGGTCATCAGCGTACAAGGCTTTTTCAGCCTTGATTTGTTCTGGCAGGTCATTGATAAAGATTAGGAATAGTGTACAGCTCAATGATGAGCCTTGTGGCAAGCCCTCCTCCAAGACTTCTTTAGAAGAGATTGCGTTGTGCATCTTAGTCTGGATTGTTCTATCTATCAGGAAGTATTTCACCCAGTTATACAATCTGCCATGTATTCCTATGCTCATCATCTTCATCAGGAGACCTTTTCTCCATACTCTGTCATAGGCCTGCTGAAGGTCGACAAAGACTGCCACTGTGTGTTTCTTATTCTGGAAGCCATCATGTATTCTTTGTGTCAGTCTGAACAGCTGGTCTTCTGTGCAGCTGTTGGTTCTGAAGCCTGCCTGTTCATGGCATAGAGCACCAGAACTCTCAAGGAACCAATATAAGCGCCTGTTTATCATTCTTTCTGCAACTTTTGCCCAAGCATGATGTTAAGGATATCGGGCGGTAGCTTTTGGGGTCATCTGGAGGCTTTTTGGTTTTAAGGATGGGGACGATATATGCATTCCTCCATGCCCTTGGAAGTTTGCTTGACCTCCAAGTTTTATTAATAAGCCTGAGAACTACTTCTCTCCCAGACCGGCCAAGATGTAGCAGCATTTCGTTGTGGATCTTATCTGGGCCTGGAGATTTTCTAGGTTTTAATTTCTTCAGGGCTTGCTCTAATTCATCCATGCTAAATTCATTTTCAAAAAGGGAGTCGCTGGCTGTTGGAGCTCTCTCTTGTTTCTTCAACTGAGAGAGCTGTGTTCTATCGAGTTCTGACAGCTTACCTGCTCTGTTAACCGAGGCAAAATAATGATTGAAATGTTCTGCTTTCTTCTTGTCTTCAGTGATTGTCTTACTCCCATCTGTCACTGGTTTTGGGTTCACCCTTCTACTTTCTCCGGAGAGGTTTTTAACTAAAGTCCATGCTTTATTTCCATTCTGTCTAAGGTCTAAGTTGGAGCAAGTTTCTGTCCATTTATCTCTTTTAGCCTTATTAACTACAAGCTTTACTCTGGCACATGCTTTATTGTATTGGATCTTTGCTTCTGTTGAACGTGCAGTTTCGAGAAATATTCTTGCTTTATTCCTTTCAGATATAGTATTTTGAATTTCTTGATTCCAAAAAAGGTTTATATGCCTTCCGGCTGCCCCTTGGGATGGCTTTCGACGCTGCATTCAGGATTGCTTGTGTTATGTCTTCACAAAAAGTTTCCACACAGCTGTTGTCAATTCTTCCCAGGAGGCAGTCAGATGTTTCCTGAAATAGTTTCCAGTTTGCTTTTCGGAAATTCCAACGAGTTCTCTGCTTGAAGCGTAATTTAGGGGTGGTGCTTACAGTTGTGAGTATAGGTTTGTGGTCACTTCCTATGTCGTCCAGGACTTGGGGATAGCTTGCGTCTGCTAAGTCGGATGAGCAGATGGTCAGGTCTGGTCTGCTGAGAGATAGGTGGGCCCTGTGTAACAGTGTAGGTGTAGACTCTGTGTCCTGCAGCACTAATAGGTTAGTACAACATTGATAATATCAGATCTGTCCGGGCTTCTTCCTGCATGCAGTGCTGCATTTCTTGCCAGCTAGTTGGCTTGTTCATTACCTTTAGGAATTAACATCATTTGTTGAGGGGGCATTTAAGGGATGCAAAGAGTAGTATCTCTACACGCTACTAAGCATGTCATAAAAGGCAGCTAAAAGTGATTTGGCATTGGCTGCCCTGTTCTGTAAACATCTTCAGTTAGAATTCACACGCAACAATGAACAAGTCTACAAATATCTGGTACAGTTTGGTTGAGGGTATATGTTGCATGAGGTGGGTGATAAAGGACAGGAGATGAAAAAGAAGCTAAGTGTGTAATCTTTTAATAGGTATTACGATTTGTATGCCCTGCCCCCTTAAACCGAAAATGAAGATTGCCTGGTTACGGGAGGGATCGCGGTCCCTGAAATTTTTAGCATTTCTATACTAGCTGCTATAAAAACCCTGCCATTCGATACTGGCTGCAGCCTCTGTCCAGCTGTCTCAGTTTAGAAGTAAAAAAACCCAATATATAAATTTTGACTAAACTCCCTATTTTTAATTTTCTTCTTTTTACTTTAACCCCCAGTGGAGCATAGGCTTCAGCTAACTCCCGCCACGTCATTCTATAATATGCAGCTCTCCCCGTGCCCTCCCCGTCTTTTTTTAACCTCATTCTCTATTTCACTCTTCTTTTTTTTTGGCCGGCCTTTTTATTTCTGTGCTCTTGAGTTCCAGTGACATTTCGGTTGTATCATTAACCAAGAACTATCCTCGTTTTCAAACTTTGCACTCCTAAATGGCGTAGATTTTAATCTCTTTCATCCGGGCTTAATATTTGGTGTTCTCAATCATTTCTGCTGATCATATTTATTTACTTCTGCCTTAAACAGCGCAGCATAATTTCTGTTTGTTAGTTAAAAGATCAGTGTTGATTATTGATTATTTCATATGCAGAAACACAGATGTGTGTGCAGACAAAATTGTTTTTTTATGTAAACACTTTTTACTACGTTAAAAAAAAAAAAAATTTTTTCAACTCCAGCGTTCAACATTGGCCGAGGATTTGTTGCTGGGGGCGCTGCCATCGGAATTGGGGCTCTGTGTTTTTATGGCCTTGGTCTGTCTAGTACACCTGGTGCTTTGGACCGCTCCGTGTAAGTTTGCATGTACCTCTTTCAGAACATAGTTATAACCAGGACTTTTTTCTATGGACAAAGGTGCCGATATGCACCACACAGATTTGGGGAGGGGGGGGGGTTATGCTTTAAAAAAAGTGCCGGTACTGCCTCCCTTTAGAAACAAAGCACTGGTCATAGTAGTTTGACCTACTCCTGTTACACTTGCCCATTAGATGTCAGTTGTGTGTAAGTCTTTGTGTGAAGTTAAATGGAAGACGTTAATTTTGTGAGTACATTTTTTTTTTCCCGCCTGGAAAAACAACTCAGTCAGCCCACTGTTTTCAGTTGTCAAGGTTTTAAAAAAAAAAGGTAGTTGCACTCAAATGGCACTTCTCTGAGTAGACTATATATATGCATTGCATTCTACCACCCAAGATTGAAAAGTGTGTGTTCCAGGGCTTGGAAAATCAAAAATAGACTTACTACCTTTCCCCTTCTCCTCCAACCTCCGCCAACAAGCATGTCATTAGAGATTATTTATTTGGTGTGTTTGCTTCAAATTTGGAGTACATCTACCCAAGAGGCAATGAACCAGCTGTCTGCATACAAATAAGCCAGTTCTCTGAAACAGATGTACACGTAAAACTCAAGTCCTGAAACAACAACAGAGTCCAGAAGTTGACGAACAACCAGAAATTTCCTCCGGTGTTTACAGCCAGTTAACTCTAAGAACAAGAAATGAGGTTTCCTCATCTGGTGCCGTGCCGGCTGGTGTGGACAATCAAGCCTCTCTGCGATCCGCAACGCTGTGTATCAGTTTGTGTGCTGACACGCTTCCATGTCATGATAATAGGCTGTCAAGAATCTTCTTGCACTGTCTTTTTGTGTCTCTGTTTCCGCACATCTTTTCAGTTGTCACAACATGTTCCAAAGGGGTTTACATAGATTACAATTTTTTTTTAAACCATACTAGCAACGTCATGAATCATACCAGGTCTGCACGAGCTGGGGCAGGCATCATTCCCCCAAGCTGCCATACCCCTTGGGTGGGAAGTATTGAACTTTGGCATTTACTGGATGGGATGCAGAGGTGCTGGACTGCACATAGAGGTGCACCAGGTCCGGGCTTACACTGGCCAGGTCCTTTCTACGCCTCTGCGAGGTCACCCTGGAAATGGAGCAAGTTCCGCACTGGGAGCCTGACCTTTTCATCCTCATCATGTGCCCTGCCAACTGGCATAGGCGCTCAAGCTTCTCCACAGATAACGATCCCTGGTTGCCCGGAACAGCTCTCTTGATGATATCCCTCCATGCCATCGTTTCAGCCTATCCGGCATCATTTCTCTTGGTCTGCCTCTACCCCTTTTTCCACTGATCTTTCCAGTTGTCACGATGTTCTCCAATGTCTCTTTTCTCATTATATGACCAAAGAACAGTGTGTCTCTTTCTTATTGTTGTATATAGATATCTGCTTTCATTAGCCCGACATGTGTAGATAAAATCGTTTCCTTTAAAGTCAGGTTTATCTGCCTAAGAGGCAAAGAACCAACAATCATCCATACAGATAAGCCGGATCTGTAAAATGGATGTGCATATAACACTTAAGTCCTTGAACAAGACTGGAGTTTATAGCCAGTAAACGTGATCTGTAAGTGGTCATAAGTTCAAATCCCCGTTGCAAACCTCAAAGCTGTAAGGAATTGTTTTTTTTTTTTATATAATTTTTTGTCAGGGTGTGCTGCCACAGAAAATATTGTCACACTTGATCATCTCATATCCTTAAAATCACACTAACACAGGCGTATTAATGAAGTGGTCATTAAATGTGAATGGTGGCACCCCTAGATGCATGCTTTACAGAGGACGCTTGTGTCAATATTTTTTTGACTTGATTCATTCTCAGTATAAATGCAGAGGTTGTACAATTTAAGTTGTGTGCAAGCAGGGCATGAATGAAACAGTTTTTGAGGTAGATTATTAGGAACAAAATGCCATGGACCACGTTTCTTGGAGGGGGGGGGGGTCCAGAGGGGAGTGATCGCAAATGAGGAGAAGCACACTAATTACATGTGACCGAAACAGCGGTCCAGAAATCCCAGGCTCTGATTGTGAAAGACCGTTTCTTTATGAGGGCAAGTCTTGCTGGTCATACTCACCTCGCCTTCGGCCAGTGGTTCTCAACCTTCCTAATGTGGTAACCCTTTAATGCAGTTTCTCATGTCGTGTCGACCCCCAACCATACCATTATTTTCATCGCTACTTCATAACTTCATTAAATACATGTTTTCCAATGGTCTTTGGTGACCTCTGTAAAAGGGTCATTCAACCCCAAAAAGGGTCATGACCCATAGGTTGAGAACTGCTGCCATAAGCTGTGATTCTAATGCCTCCCCATAGTACAGTATAACACTGTTGTCTGGGAAGACAGAAAGATGCTAACAACAGCGATGCTGAACTACATGATGTGGCACATCAGAAACGGGATTGATACTGTTCAAGACCTGCGTACCCCTCACCGTGGCCATCCTAGAAACAGGTCCCCAACCAGAATCCTGGCCAGCATAGATCAGATCATTTCCTTCGAAGTCAGAATGCATGAGTCTGAGAGGCAAGGAACCAAGTCTGCACACAAAATAAGCCAGATCTGTCAAACTGAAATGCAGGCAACACTCAGTCCTGGAAAAAGACCAAGACTTTCCACCAAAGTTTACAACCGCTGAGTGCTAGCAAGAAGAAGATTCTCATTAATTATGTCTTTATCTCATTATGAATCTTCAGACCTCATCACCTGCCATAAAGTCTGCTCAGTCATTAATGTCTGTTTTCTGTATTTACCAGAGCCTGGCCAAAACATGTCAGACAACGCATCAGGGACACATACATGTACTTCGGGGGAAGTCTCGCTGTCACTGCCTTGACCGCTGTTGCAGCTAGTCGCAGTCCGGCGGTGATGAATTTTATGATGAAGAACTCACTTTTGGTAATGAAGTATACCTTTTCTCCAAGTTCTAATGATTTAATCTCTTTTTGAGTTAGTTAAGTCTTGAAAGAAGCTAACTAGCTGAGAGAACTGATTGCCCACATCAGAAGGAGACAGTCTACATTCTTTGGTCATGTCATGAGAAGGAGAAAACTGGAATCCATTGTGACGGTGGGAAAGTGAACAGAAAAAAAAGGAACAAAGATATATTGAGAGAGAAGATATTGGACAGTTTGAAGCATTTGCCTGAGAGATCCTGTGCGGCAGAATTGAATGAAATTACACACGACAGAATGCTACAGAATTGATTGAAATTACACACGACAGAAGGCTACGGATTTGATTGAAATTACACACGACAAAAGGCTACAGAATTGATTGAAATTACACACGACAGAAGTCTACAGAATTGATTGAAATTACACACGACAGAAGGCTACGGAATTGATTGGAATTACACACGACAGAAGGCTACGGAAATTGATTGAAATTACACACGACAGAAGGCTACAGAATTGATTGAAATTACACACGACAGAAGGCTACGGAAATTGTTTGAAATTACACACGGCATAAGGCTACGGATAGACCCGTCGATTCAGTGTTTTAAGTTGACCTCAATATTTTTAGCTAAGAAATCTGAGTTTGCCCTGTACCTGAATAACACATGTTGGACCCCTAGGTTTTGAAGTTATGCTTGCAGTTTACGATAATCATATTTCTCCTGATGTATGTTTGATACAGGTGCACAGCCATGGAAAGGAGGGGGAGGTTCAGACTACTTATGATTTTCAATTTAATTGTGCAATAATGATATTATTACAGTCGAGTCCACATTAGTCGAACTCGGATAAGTCGAATTTGAGTTATGTCGACATGACCAGCTTGGTCCCGGCAATTTTCTCTATTGTGTGTGTGTGCTGTCTGGATAAGTGGAAGTCCTGATAATTGGAAGTATTTTCTTGGGTCCCTGTGACTTCTACTTATCCAGACTCGACTGTATTACCTGGAACACTGTATCTCATCGAGTGCATTACTACAGAGTTAAATCAGCGTACAAGGAAACACAAAAATGAATCCTTTTTTCTGAAATGTATAAACCACATTGTCACATTACTGTACAATGCTCCACTGTGTGCAGTTTTTTTTTTTCATCGAACACCGGCTGTGAATTCCAGTGGAAGGTCAGGTAATCGTCCGCTTGGACTTTTGGCTTTCACCTGGACCTGATTTTTGCGTGTACAACCGTTTTTAATTTCCCTGCCTCATGGGCAGCTGTACGCCGACTTCGAAGGAAGACGTCAGGCCTATTTCTAGGGTGACTGTGGCCATTGTTTTGTGTGGGTCGAGACGTTGCCTGATTTGTGTGGTGTCCACTTCGTCTCCTTCGCCGCAGGTATTGCCCCCGGAGTACCCCTTTGGGTCGGCCCCCTGTGGAACAGTTAGCCCTCAAGGGAAGGCAGGGGCAGATCTTGGGCATTCCCCGCCATCCAAGGAGGCATCCATGTATGCAGAGCCGACACATGGCGCTCTGGTTCTGGGCTCACCCAAGGAATCGTCACGTCCTGCACAAGCCTGCTTAACCTCACAACCGTATCAAGCCTCCCGCTCGACAGGGGCTGCGCCCTCTGGGGGTCAGCGGAGAGCAGCCCGCGGGTTTTGGACTTTTGTAACCACACAGATAGGTACATTCTTTTTTCTTCGCACGTTAGATTTCTTTGACGAGCCGTTAGCCCGACAGATTTTACATCCTGCATCAGACCTATCGTTATCAGTTTTGTCCCAACACTCGGGCGAGTGGTGTCTTTGGGTGTGGACATTCGGTCTTTTTCAGTTCAATTCAAATTTTGAGGTCAGATTTTGATCCGTATGATCTAGTTTTGTCGGAAATTTAGGCTTAGCCATCCGATCGATGGATGGTTGCTGTTGTGGTGTACCACAGCGCGGTGACGACGACACTGAGGGTTTACCAAGGACATGAATGGCCAGCCTATGGATGGTTGCTGTTGTGGTGTACCCCAGCGCGGTGACGACGACACTGAGGGTTAACCGAGGATGTACATGAATGGCCAGCCTATGGATGGTTTCTGTTGTGGTGTACCCCAGCGCGGTGACGACGACACTGAGGGTTAACAGAGGATGTGCAGTGAACAATGTTCTCTTTATTCCGCAGTCTTTTAACCAAGGGTTGTAATTTTGGCTGTACGTTTGGCAGACCTACTCATGTTCCTAATGAGTTTTGATAACAATTTTTTCACCCAAGCGTTTGGGGGCGGGCTGATGAGAGCCACAAGGACACATCACCTCTGGGGGCCGCCAAACTCCGAGATCCCCTGGCAGCTCTGTTAATGCTCATTTGAGACATTATCCGTGGCCTTGCGTGAGGTTCCGTACAACCAGGATATTAAAGGACTGGCGCCCGAGTGACGTACGGAGTATCTCCTTATACACATCATGTTGGACTTAACTTCCCCTCACGCCTGTGACATAAATCACCGCGCCACACTGTGTGCAGTAACTTGACAGTGTAGTTTATACATTTCAGCAAAAACTATCATTTTTGTTTTTTTTCTACAGGTGAAAAGGGTTAATTTTTTGTGCTTCATTGTTTAATGATTTAACTCTGCAATGATAACTATTATTATTGCTTGCTGATTTCCCCACAAAGGGTCTAAGACCCCATTTTTGGGGTGAAATAGGCACACACACACCCACTCTCAAAACAAGCGTTTGGTAACAGGCGACTTATTGAGGATGTTTCCCTTAATGTTGAAGGGCATCTGCTTGAGAGGTGAGGAGCCAACAGTCTGCATACGAACAAGCCAGGTTTGTAAAACAGATGTGTGCACAAAACTAGAGTTTTGGAACAAGAATACAATCCAGAAATAGGTAAACATCCAGAACTTTCCGCCAGAGTTTTACAGCCAGTGAATGTGAAGAAGTTCCAGAACTTGGGTGTTGCAAAACTCTGGAACAAGACCATTGTCAGAAGTGAACTTTCGGCCAGAGTTTAATGCTGGTGAAGGTTGGTGAATGAATTAATCAATCAAGAATTGACAGCAGTGCACTGTGGACATTCCCACACACGCTCCGTCCCCTTCTTCAGCAGCTAACGAAAAGTCAACATGCTAATAGTATCAGTTGCAGCCTGGTTAAAAGTCAGCCTCTCTTTCCCCTTGAGTGTTGATTGTCGCCCAGAACCTCTACTCGCCCCCTCCACGCCCGGTTGATTTAGTCTTGGTCGAGGTTTCAGCTTCACTGCAGTTGGGTTCCCTGTACTTGCTCCGTTCCTGTGCCAGTGCAGATCAAATGAAATGTCCCTCACTGTCCCATTTGAAAAACTGGTGAACAAACAATTAGACCTGGGACAATACAGAAAAAGGCGCACGCATTAAATGTGTTAGTTGAATTAGTCTTTCAGTGTATGGATTCCCTATCTGGTATCACGTAGCCGGGAAAGCTAACCCGGTCAACAAATGCCCGCTGAAGTCGGATGTGTTGGCCGAAAGGTGCAAATATCGCAGCCATGCTGTAAACGGACATAACGCAATCACATCTTCGGATGAATGCAGAAGAAGTATCACGTACAGTGAAGGTTAAGAAAAAAAGAGGAGGAAGTGCTTATGATGTCTCTCTTGTTTCCACAGTCCATTGGGGCCACAATTGCAGCCATGATTGGTTCTGGTATGGTGGCAAGGTCTATTCCATACCAGCCGGGATTTGGTGCCAAACAGATGGCCTGGTTGGTCCATGCCGGGGTCTTGGGGGCCGTGGTGGCTCCACTGACCCTGCTGGGGGGCCCCCTCCTAGTGAGGGCAGCCTGGTACACCGCTGGGGTGGTTGGGGGTGAGTTCAGAAATATGTGTCTGCCTGTGTTGTGTTGAATGATAAGTATATTTGCGTGTGTTGAATGATGAGTACATGTGTGTTGAATAACGAGTTCATGTGTGTTTTCAGGGATGAGTGTTTGTATGTATATTTGTGTTGATTAATGGGCGCATGTGTGTGTTGAATAATGGTTGCATGAGTGTGTGTGTATGTGTTGAATAATGAGTGCATGTGTATTCAGTGATACATGTGTTTATGTATAATAAAGAGAGTGTGTTCTGAATTATGAGGGCATGTGTATGTTGAATCATGTATGTCTGTGTTGAATGATCTTTGTGCCTGTGTATGCTAAATCGCATGTGTACCTATTTATCTGTGCACATTTTTTGTCCTAATGCATTCCTGCACATTTTACTAAAATTCTGTTGGCATCTTTAAGTAAGTTGATAAAACAGTTTGGTGGAGGGTGCATCAATGATGAAGTGATTAATCTGTTAAGTGGAGCCCACATTTAATGTATTTCTTATGACCAAGTCGGCTTAGGTGTCGCGAACATGCTTCATAATGCCAGTGTGCTAGGTTCGATTCCAGCTGCGGACGATTTGTCTTGTGTTGGTTTTGACAGTGGTATCAAGAACTGACCGTTCTGAAAGCATAGGCAAACTACTGAATTTAAATTTGCCTAGAAAAACCATAACAGCCAAAAATACAGGAGTTGGTTTTGCAAGGTCTGTAGAGGATACGCGATTAACTTAACTTGTGACTAAACAGGTGAAAATTTTCCTGTTGAATCTCAGAAATATCCAAAGGCGCGTGTTTGAAACTTGATTTTTAAAATGGTTGTCTGTCTATTGTCACCTCAGGTTTGTCGGCCGTGGCAGTGTGTGCCCCTAGTGAAAAGTTCCTCAACATGGGAGGAGTTCTGGGTGCAGGCCTAGGCGTGGTTTTCGTTGCTTCTTTGGGTGAGTTCCAGTGCTTGTATGTCTTTTTTTTTTTAAAGTGACTAATGTATATTGTTTTATTGCCTGTGCTGGATTTTTGTAAAATAAGAAATCCTCAACCTTGATCCTAGTTTAGAGTCGGATGCAATCTTTGAAGTTTTTTCTTCATTTCTCCTCCTTCTTCATTCACTGGCTGTAAGTTCCGGTGGTAAGTCCTGGATGTTCATCCATTTGAACTTTGGCTTGGTGCCAGGGCCTGAGTTTGCGTGTGCATCCATTTTACTGGCTTATTTATTTGGTTGTTCCTTACCGCTCAGGCAGATGTACTCTGATTTCAAAAGAAGTCCCCAACTAGCCTCCTACGACATGCTTGTTGGAGAGGCAGTGGTCCTGTTCTTGTTTTCCCCACAATGGGGCCCCGGAACCCACACGAAAAATTTCTTTAACCAGTTTTTGGTTTTTGTGTTACTTGGAAAGCCTTACCCCGTTTTTCTATGCTTTTTTAAAAATTTTCATTTCCCCTCTTTCTCTTTGTAAGGATAAAAAACAGCCAATATCCATATAGTTCTCCATTATATTGTGCTCCGATTTTAAGTTATATACTTTGGCTGTCCAAGATGTTTTCAACATTGGTCTGAATATTGAAGTACAAGCTCTAGTGGAAAGGTCTGGTTGTTTTCTCACTTCAGAACTCTTCACTATTCATGAATATTGGGGCTACATTTGGTATTCTTCATTCTGTGAAATGCTGCTTTTTCTTGAGCTGTTCAACATTCAGAATTTGAAATACATCTTCTGTTATCGTCGGCTCCGTGGCTAAGTCAGTGCAAACGCTTCGTAATGCCGGGTTCGGTCCCAGCTGCAGGCCATGCGCCTTGCGTTGGTTTCAACACTGGTATCAAGAAAGCCGACCCTCCAGAAAGCAATGGCAATCTACTGGACGTAAATTTGCCTAGAAAAACCACACAACAGCCAGGGGCTGTTGGGATTGGTTCTGCAACGTCCTGTAAAGGATACGCAACTAACCTAACCTTCTGTTTTCTGTGTACCTGATCTTACACTGGTATCTTATGAGAAAGAAAATAACCATTTCAGGACTTTATTTTGTCCGATCTGGTGATCACAGAAAGTAGTTTTAATCAGTTTTAACCTACTGAATCTGGGGATCGTCGTCGGAGCTACAGAGTTTGTGCTCTGTGCTGCGCTCTTGGCAGGCGGTTAGCTGTTCTGTGGGGAGAGACTGAGCCATATGGGATAAAACCCAGTGCAATGAAGTTGATCCTCTTGACTTAACCCTTAACATCCTGATCTGTGGCACTCCTCACTCCCACCCCTCCCAATTCTCACAACCCCCAAATGCATGGATGAAAAGATCCTTTGAAAGACTCCTTAGAAAGATGAGTACAAAAGTGAACTTGCCCCTGATGCCTATTGAATAATTTCAGTTGAAATATTTGTAACTTGGTTCACCTGCTTTACATAACAAATATGAATCAAAATCCTGTGCCCAATGAAATCAACTGGGATGGCTAACTCTAACAACAAATGCCCACTGACGTCAGATGCGTTGACTGAAAGGCACAAATATCGCCAGCTGTGCTGTGAACAGGCACAATGTGCGACTTTTTACTGGGGCAGACGGCGAAGATGAAGAAAAAAAACTACTGACACATTAAACACTTGATTTATCTGGAAATGTGAAATTTGGCCAGTCTGCCCGGTACCACATGATAATAGATGGAGACTTCTGGCCAAACTGGCCAGTAGCCATCTGACGCTGGCCCTGTGAGAGTTTATCTGTTTCCAGCTAAGTTTTGCATGAGTCCCAGCTACTGAGTTGAGTGCTTGGTACGACACTGTGAGCTGTAGAATGTTTTGTTCTGAAGTGCTTGCGGCGTGTTGTTGACCGCACTAAAATGGTGAGTGGCCGATTACATTCAGAATTACGTGTACTTTCATGATTGACCATTTGTGGCAGTAGTGAGCTGCCATTCTGATATAGGACTGTTAGTATGGGAAATCTGACAACTGCTTTGTGCATGTTTGGTGTTCTTGTGCCAGCTCCAAGATTTTGCTAGGACTGACAGTTTTTCACTAGTTATCAAATGGGACAGTGAAGGACATTGTATTGTGTGGTTTCCACTGGCACGGGACGAAGCAGTTTTGGGGAACCTCACTAACAACTTTATCATGATGTCTGAATGACAGATGTATGTATCATGATGTCCAAATGACAAATGTATGTATCATGATGTCTAAATGACAAATGTATGTATCATGATGTCTAAACGACAAATGTATGTATCGTGATGTCTAAATGACAGATGTATGTATCGTGATGTCTAAATGACAAATGTATGTATCATCATGTCTAAACGACAAATGTATGTATCGTGATGTCTAAATGACAAATGTATGTATCGTGATGTCTAAACGACAAATGTATGTATCATCATGTCTAAATGACAAATGTATGTGACATGTTGCTCTTTTTTTGTTTTTTCAAGGTTCGGCCTTCTTTCCCCCTTCAACTGCCCTTGGTGCGGGCCTGTATTCAATCAGTATTTATGGAGGCCTGGTGCTTTTCAGCTTGTTCCTGCTGTATGACACTCAGAAGATCATCAGGAAGGCGGAGCAATACCCAGTCTACGCTGACAGACCCTTTGATCCAGTTAATGAGTAAGTCTGAGCTGCAAGCAGTACACTAACTTGTGCATGTGAACTTTGACCTGCCTGCTGGCTACTGTATGATAGTGGGTGGTCTTTCTTCTTCTGTTCTCTATCCACCAATGGAGCATAGAGCCTCAACCAACCCAGGCCAAATGGTCTGTCTTTTGCATCCCAGGCAGCTCACCCTGTATCCTTCCCTCATTTTTAACTTCACTCTAGTTTCATTCTTCATGTGTTATTAAGTCTGCCTTTATTCCTTTGACCCTGCAGTTTCCAGAGAAAAATTCCCCATTAAGGGTTCTACCATACCATTTAATTCTCTCTGTTCTGTGCAGGCACCAGTTAATGGATGTTTGTAGTTTTTTAGTAGTTGTTCTTTATGTTTCCCCTTCATACAGCTGTACTGTCACTGCCTGTGGCTTAGATGTTGCGAAGGTGCTTTGCAGTGCCGGGTTTGATTCCAGCTACAGGCGATTAGGCAGCAGAACGTCTTGCAGTGGCTTTGACAGTGGCACCGAGAGCTGACCACTCAGGAAGGAGTGGCAGCAACAGCCAAAATATGATGGGGTTGGTTCTGCAACGTCCTGTAAAGTATAACTCAACTAATTTTTAATAGCAGTACTAGTTTGACATTGGAGCTAAATATTTTAAGCTCATTATTAGTTTTTAGTTTCCTTTGACTTCCGCAGATTTCCCAGTACTGTGTAAATCTTTTTGCTCTTACCTCTCTTAGTACCCTACCTTTATCTACATTATCTTCTAAATCAAATATGACTCCATATTCCCCGTATGAGTTCTGGCGCCCTATTATAGGAAAAACAAGAGTAGACCCACTGCCTACCCAAAAGCATGTAAGAGTCGACTAATTGGGAGCTTCCTTTGAAGTCAGAGTGCATCTGCCTGAAAGGCAAGGAACAAACAGTCTGCATACAAATGAGTCATATCTGTCAAACGGATACACACGCAACACTCAGGTTCTGGAACAGGACCGCAGTCCAGAAGTGGGTGAACAACCAGAACTTTCCACCAGAGCTTACAGCTGGTGAAAACGAAGAAGAAAAAGATGACTCCATATCTTCTTCTTGTTCTTATTTTCTGGTGCTGTTCTGCCTTTTGGCGTCAGGTTTTGAAGAGACATTGGGTGAGAATCGTGGTTTGCCTTATGTAGATGCTAGTATTTACGGCCTTAGATATTCCATCTATCCATCGTTTACGTCCACATCTTGAGAGATCTTAGCAGGAGAAATTGGATTATCATTTGCCTGGTTGGTTCTCATTGTCTTTGTCATTCCCTTATGAAAATAGATGGTAGTGCCTGATATTCAGTGACAGTAGATAGCTTAATGAGTGTTTATTTGACATCCATTCCGGTGGCTTGGTTACAAAACTATGAAAGAAAAGTACAGTGTGGCAGTGTTAAACAAAGCAGTCATTTTGAATGAATTATGCACCATGGATTGGTCAGACAAAGCCACTGTAAGCATTCCAGCAAGCCTCCAATTGCTTAGTGTGGCGTTGAATGCCATCCACAAAATAAAAGGGATTGTGGTTGCTCACTGAACCAAGTGTTTACTGCCTTCCTCCTTTTGGTGGTCGGTGAAAATGCATAATACCCACTATAAACAATATCTTCCGGTAATGCAATTTCTTAGTGTTACCTTTTGAACCGTCCCAAGTGACACATACAATTCTTTCGCTAGTGAACTTATCTTTCGACAACGGTTCACCTGTATTGTTGCATCAGTTTTGCCTATGATGTTTTTTTTCTTTCTGTTGCAAAAATATGCCCTTGAGCCGGCCGTGGAATGTCTGTCATGAGCTCACGTCCTCTCTGAAACATTCATGTCCAGTTTTCACTGTTTTCATCGACATTTATTTGTTACCGTACACTGTCTGCATTCTTCGATGACCATCCACTGGTCGACATCCTCCAAATGAAAGAAACTGAATCACTGTTATTTGAGCTTCTTGGGGCGAATTTTGCATCAACCTGGCAATTTTCTCAGTGGTCAGAAACAGATCCTATGCATTGTAGGACGATAAGCACACTCTTTTATTCATTGGTCAGTATCTATCTCATGTCTGTGACATGGTCATGTTCAACACCCACATCTATGCACTGTGCAGAATGGGTTTCACATGGAGGTTCCTTATACTATATGATACTTTATGACAGTAGAGTTATGTTATTACAATCAATGTCACTGTACATTTCCCATGCGTGCTCAGTCCTCCGATGCAGCGGCCACTTCAAGGTACTTCTACTAATTGTTCCCATGAGAAGTTGGTTATAATGTTGGCCTTGAAGGCGGCATAGTCGTTCTTCTCCGTGCTTTACTCCCATGTCATGCCATCATGTTAGTGTCGGGGATTCCTCATCCACTAGCCCAGTCCGTACAGTGTTGATGATATCAGCTCTGTCCATGCTTCTTCACACCTGCGATTGTGCATTGCTTGCCAGTTGGTCTGCTCGCTTATTACCCTTTACGCTCGCATGATCAGGTGTGTAGATCCAGGTGAGGGAGCTTAAGTGTGATTTTTGAATGCTTCCTACCCATTCACAGCACATACCACCTGTTGCCATCTTCTGAAGACAGTAGAGTATACCATGTTTCGGTTCTTTAATAATATCCTACCCCAGGACAGTCCAAAATTTTAGATGGTGGTAAGACTGGGTTTCCCGGCTTTCTGTTGCTTTTAACGACCCCAAAATATCTAGAACCCTAACCCCAACCCGCCAACGTCCCAGGAGAGAGTGCAGCCTTGGTCCCACGACTGCATGCAGCCTATTTGCCACCCCTTGAAATATTGGACTGCCCGTGACCTGTGGATTTCCCCTGTTTGGTGTAGGATATTAATAAAGCACCCATGTTTTCCCAAATTAAAACATTGTCTTATATTAATTTTTGTTGTTCAGAATGCACTTGGGCTAATTTTTAGTGGATGCATTTTTTCGGATACAAAATCTATACTTATTCGTGCACAAAATTATACATTTGCTAAAGTAGTCATGTCTTCTTCTGGAACATCGTCATGAACCTTAAAATCATGAATTCTGACCTGAATCTGTTCATTATCACGTACATACTGGTGGCATCTGTACTCAGACTGGCCATTCGACAAGTCTCTCATTTTAGCCGACGATCTTATTTTTGGGGTAGGGTTTATATTAAAAGCATCCTGAAAAATCGTGCTAGGGCTTATATTTGAGTTTGTCTTATTTTGGAGGTAACAGAATACTGCTTGCTACCATGTGACAATAGCTGCTACTGATATTATAAGACAGTAGATAGTACTCCCATTTATCACTGGCATCATGAGATCTAATAGATTAAAATGGCTTGGGCATACTGAGAAAATGTTAAATGACAGAGAGGTAAAAACTGTGTACACAAGGGAGCTGAATGGTCATAGACCACAAGGCAGACCAAGAAGACAATGGATAGATAACGTCCAGACAGACCTGCAAACAATAGATATCAGAAACGAAAGAGAAGGCCAACCAGAGAGATGAGTGGAGGCAGGTGATATCTGCAGCAATGAACCTCAAGAGCTCAGAATGCTGAAGAATAAGGAAAAGATGGTACTCCCTTTGTGAGCATTTGAGTTGTAAGAGTTCATATAATGCACTGACACAAAGGTAAATATTTTTTTCAATCTTTCTTTTGTCTTCCATCATTTCAGGAGCATCGGTGTCTACTTAGACACCGTGAATATCTTCATCAGGATTGCCATGATCCTGGCCGGCCAAGGGGGCAACCGTAGAAAATAAGTGATTTCCATCTGCAGGAGAGCGTAAGTTACAGGAGGAAGTAACAAGAGGAAGTGTGCATAGTTCTAGTTGATCAGGAAAGACAAGTCGTGATTGGACAACAGGAGTCTTTCTAAAAATGTTGAAAAAAAAAAAATATGAACATTGTTTTTTTACGTTTGCATATATGTTTTGTATATAATTGTAAAGCAATGAATTTTAATGAGTTCAGTCTCATTTTTGAGCAGAGTGGATGTTAGCACTTCATTTTCATGCTTTGGTTTTGTGCTTTTCTAGCAAATTGTTTTGTCTCAGGTCAATGCTATAAACAGTAAAATGTCATAAGCAGGATCAAATTATATACAACTTGTTTTTTGTTGTTTTGTTTATTGCAATTGCATCTGCTACAGATCTTATCCTTTGTTTACCTATTTTTAGTTGCACAAATTTGGGTCACCAGATTGATCAATCTCTAGAGGTCACCTAACTCTTGTGCTTACTTAAAAATTGCTTATCACAGTTACAGCAGTCTCTTGATATGGCAAATAGGCAGATTTACTTTTGGCAAGCTATTTGTTCAGTTAGCTAGTGTATTTCTCCCATATGTGAACTGAAAGTATAGTTCTATTGCACAGCTACATACATACATCTAATATTTAGTGTGTCTATGTATATGTAGTGTGTAGAGAGGAAGAAAATGATCTCTCTCTCTCACACACATACTCTCACTCACTCTCAAAATACACACATTTGTGCCCACAGAGACAACAAAAGCCTCTGGAAGATCAGGTTTAATGTCATTTTATAAGAGACCAAAATATAAACAAATTTAAATGACACAAAATTTAACTTTTGTTTCAAAATATTCGGAAGTACACACAAACTCGAAACAACATCCAATAAAAACCCACATCGAAACACATTCATCAAAATTCCTAGGGCAGACATTGACTTAATAAGTATACTCAGACTAATCAAGATGGGACCGACTCGAAGACAGTGCCTGGGGTCTCAGAAGCAGTCATGCCTGACAAAGTTTCGTTTTGTGCCAAGGTAAGAGGAAACTAAATCGTTGCGAGGCTCGCAGACAGGGCTACTGTGGACTGGTGGCGAGCAAATAATGGGCTAACCTTCTAAATACTCTATGATGTAAAATATTTAGGGGCATCAAGTAATGAATGCGAGTCTTCAACCATGACTAACTGCAAAAAGAGCAAATCAGAAGACAAATCACTACATAGAAAGCCAAAGAACAACATACAAGAAAACAACACAGGCCTGATGTCGTCAGCTACCACACACTGAGGGTATACTGAGGGGGGGATCTGACCATTTATGGACTGAATGGTTTGATGCACAGTGAGAATGATCTGCCATTAAAAAAACTATATATTTGTGTTTATCTGAGTCTGTGGCTTAGGCATTTGCAAATGCAGCTTCATAATACCGGGGTGTTGGGTTTGATCCTGGGTTACGACAGTGGTATCAAGAGCTAACCATTCAAAAGGCAATGGTGAACATAACATTCCCTAGTCAAATCATGAACAGCCAAAAAATGTTGGGGTTGGTTCTGCAACGTCCTGTAATGGACATGCAAGTCACTTTTTAAACTATGTTCTGGCTGTCACATGGTTTTGGCAGATGCACTCCGACCTCAAAGGAAGCTCCCAATTAATTGACTCTTACGACATGTTTGTTCATTGGGGGGGGGGGGGGGGGGTTATTCTTGTTTTCCCCACAATAAGGCCCCAGAATCCAACACACACTAGCAAACTTGTCTTAGAAAGGAATTTAGGAGGTGAGGACGCCCAAAAGAAACCCTAAAATAAAGGTTCATGAGAGAGGCCGAAGCTACTACACTGGATTCAATCTATGACACGGAACAGACCGCACAGCATAGAATGGAGGAAAAGACTGAGCTCTATGTGAATGGCACAACAGGACAATGATGATGATGTTCCAAATAGCCCTCAGCATGAGTCAACTGGTAACTTTAGGGCAGCAACAAAACACCTAGCCACTTTTCTGAAACTTAAACAACATAAAAAAACAAACACAAATAATGTATGAATCCCAACACGTGTTAAGTCGTTTCCTCTTTGGTGTGGTCTGTTTTACCTGGTGTGTCCTCATTAACTTTACTGTGCTCTTCTTTATGAGAAGTGTGATCCCCGTGTATTTGCTTGTCCTCTTTGTTCAGCATTTCATTCAAGCCACTGAGAGCAACTGTCATATGATACCTGAAAAATACAAGTTAAATACTTGAAAAGTACAAGTTAAATACCTGAAAGATTCACAGAACACCTGGAAAATGCAATAGCTGAAAATAAAAGTAAAAAAGATGAAAAATGCACAGGGGACCTGGGAATTACAAATAAATACTTGTAAAATACTAGTAGAATACCTGGGAAATACTAGTAGAAAGGTTATCTTTCACAGGTTGGAAAGCATACCAATGAATACAAATAATTGAAAAATTACCAATAATAATTTACCAATGAAAACATGCCAATAATAATTTACATATGAAAACATGCTAATAATAATTTACCAATGAAAAAATGCCAATAAGAAGCTGTCAATTTCAAAGTGGGAAAGAGTTGAAATTGTGCAGATAGACTAAACAGTTGTATGACTTGTGAAACACAAAACAAGTGGACAAGCCAAGAAAACACAACAAATATAGTTTCTGAGGTAAAGTACACAGTGGACTGCCTGAAAAATGAATGAAAAACCCTTCATGGGCCATAATTTTGTTTAAGAAATAAAACGTAGTGAAGATGTGGTGTCCATGCATGCCATCAGAAGAAATAAACTTGAAAACTTTGCAATGACGGAGTAGTACAAATGTTTCGACCTTCACCTCAACTCCTACAAGCTAGATCCAACTAGACTTGTAGAACTTGAAGCCTGTTGGACCAGGAAAGCCATTTTTCTGGCATGTACACGGTTTTGATGACATGAGGTCTCTGGGCAATGACGGCCACCATACCTCGATTTGGTACTTGCTGTAACTGCAAGACTGTTGCCTATAAATAGTTGCGTATCTTTTACAGGATGCTGCAGAAGCAATTCTAGACTTATCTGGCTGTTCATGATTTCACTAGGTAATTTTACTTTCAGTAGTTTGCCACTGCTTTCTGAAACCAACAGCTGTGAAAATCAACGCAACCTGATTAACAGTCGTTAAGTTGAGAGCATTAACTTCATTGTGCTTGGTTTTATCCCATATGGCTCGGTCTCTCTCCGCAGAAACGTTAGCCACCTTCCGACAGTCACACAAATACTCCATAGCTCCAGCAACAGTCTCTAGGGATCTCTGTAAAACTTGTAGCCCTGAAATAAAAACCACAACCTTTAGACTGCGTCACCACTTCACCATGGAGACCCTCCACGCAAGGCGATCAGCTGCAAAATCACCCACAGCTGGGATTCTACCTGGCACCACGGAACTACTAAGCGTGTGTTTGCAGCACCTAAGCCACAAATGTTGACTGGTACGACTAAATATACCCACACGCAAAAATTCACATATTTTTTGGGGTGACAAAAATCGCCTTCTTTTTTTAATTGGAATGTCATCGTTTCCTCATAATAACCTCATAATGGTGTCACTTTGCTCCATATGGTAAAGTCACCAAAACCCCATTTTCAAACACTGAAAAGAAGAATACTGTACAAAAGAACACTGTAAAGAAGATTTTTGCAAAGAAGAACACTGCAAAGAAGAACACTGTACATAAGAACACTGTAAATAAGAACACTGCAAATAAGAACACTGCAAATAAGAACACTGTAAATAAGAACACTGTAAATAAGAACACTGTACATAAGAACACTGTACATAAGAACACTGTACATAAGAACACTGTACATAAGAACACTGCAAATAAGAACACTGCAAATAAGAACACTGCAAATAAGAACACTGCAAATAAGAACACTGTAAATAAGAACACTGTAAGTAAGAACACTGTAAAGAAGAACACTGTAAAGAAGAACACTGTACATAAGAACACTGTACATAAGAACACTGTAAAGAAGAACACTGTAAAGAAGAACACTGTACATAAGAACACTGTACATAAGAACACTGTACATAAGAACACTGTACATAAGAACACTGTAAAGAAGAACACTGTACATAAGAACACTGTAAAGAAGAACACTGTACATAAGAACACTGTACATAAGAACACTGTAAAGAAGAACACTGTAAAGAAGAACACTGTACATAAGAACACTGTACATAAGAACACTGTAAAGAAGAACACTGTAAAGAAGAACACTGTACATAAGAACACTGTACATAAGAACACTGTACATAAGAACACTGTACATAAGAACACTGTAAAGAAGAACACTGTACATAAGAACACTGTAAAGAAGAACACTGTACATAAGAACACTGTACATAAGAACACTGTAAAGAAGAACACTGTACATAAGAACACTGTAAAGAAGAACACTGTACATAAGAACACTGTAAAGAAGAACACTGTAAAGAAGAACACTGTACATAAGAACACTGTAAAGAAGAACACTGTAAAGAAGAACACTGTACATAAGAACACTGTAAAGAAGAACACTGTACATAAGAACACTGTACATAAGAACACTGTACATAAGAACACTGTAAAGAAGAACACTGTACATAAGAACACTGTACATAAGAACACTGTACATAAGAACACTGTACATAAGAACACTGTAAAGAAGAACACTGTACATAAGAACACTGTACTGCAAAGAAGAATTTTGTAGTGTAAAACTGTAAAGAAAAATTCTGTCAAGGAAAACACTGTTAAAAAAGAATATTGTAAATATCGCCCGGGAAAGACCCACCTTGTTTCAACTGCTGCCTTTTGCCACTCTGTATTAAGGGACTGAACTGCAGCACACCGAGTCTTTTCCTGATCAAGGACAGCCCGAGTTTTACTCAAATCTTTCTGAAGTTTTGAACTCGTCCTCTCCTGTTCGACTATTTGTGTTCTGACTTGTTCTGAAAATACAGCAAATTG